ATCTGCTTTTTGTTCGACACTTTACATATCAAAACAAAGGAAATTTGTTCCTCTCTTTGATTCTGGCGGTACATTTTTAATTTGCGCCTGCGCAAAAGAGATATCGCCCGAGACCCTTTGCTCGGTTGTGTTTTGATCAAAAACGCCTTGTTAATTTCACGCAACCGCTCGGAGAAAAGGTAAAAATGACGAGGCAAAAACTTTACCTTCAAGTTAGAAAATTAGCGAAATAGAAAGCCACAATATTATATTTTAATATTTCAGAGGTGTATTGAGTGCTTTTTTCCGTAGAGAATCCGCACGATGGTAAAATATTCGAAAATTACACTCGATTTGAGTGGGGCGTTGAAATGGGCGTGGTCACTATATTCATGTTAAGACTATTTGTACCCCATGAGTTTGATATGAGTAATTGGAAATAAAATCAAAGATATGTATTTAAGGTACAAGGCACATTGGGGCACGCTACTGTGGTATTTGACAAAAATTAATGTACGGCGAGAGCCACTCCCCCGCCTCCTATCTCTCCCCTTGGTTTTGCCCCAAAAAATCTCAAAAATCAAGCTTAACAAAATTCACGTAACTCAGGTTCGCTACGATTTTTTAGTGGAATCGACCGTTATGTATACAAAGCCGAGGCTCACTATAAGTTACACTGCCCAGTGAATCTTTTCTACTAACTGTCGCAATACCTTTCAAACGACACGAAAGGCGGTAAGATTGTGACAGAATACTGGATAAATGCAAAAACATGCTTCCGTTTTTGATGTTTGTCCTGTAAAACAACTGTGAGTACTCTTTGGAACATTTTCACCAAGTGAGATATGCCAACAGACTATAGCTATCGCGGCGGACAGGTGCGTACAGGAGATACCAGCATTGTGGCGTCATAACTGTAGATTACTGACTGGTTTTGTTGATAATTTTGATATCGAGATTTGCTTTTCGTTGTAGAGAGCTCAAGTGATGTGTCAGAAGAAAGCTGTTAGTAGAACAGTTCAATTTATTAGCATTCCCTGTACTGTGAACTCTGATTTTGTAAAGGACAGATAACTAGGGTTTTCCCAAATTCTGCATTAATTTATTTCAAGGTAACCGATAACTGCCACCGCATACTGATTCAGATGTTATCACTGACACTTATTACGTAAACCATTTCTGTGAAAAACTTGATAAAGATTCGTATTGTTTATTCGATCCCGTTATCATCACTTAATACTCCATTACGTGAATGGCACTCACTCACCCGATGATTTCACACGGTTGGATTATCTCAAAACTGCGTTCAAAAGGACGCTCTTCGTCAACATTTGCTTGTAGAATAATGCTTTTCACGTGGGTGATTTCCGACAAAGTTACATATAGTGAAATTCTGAATTAAAATCGTTGATCGTTGCCAGGGTCATGCACTTAAGGGGTCCGAAGCTTTGATTCTTAATTTGAGGAATGGTCGTGTGAGTATTAAATATCGATACCTCGAACTAGAATCTCAGACATGGCCAGCCAGAATCATGTTTCCAGGACTGATGATCACCGGAACTTTCGAAAAACTGGCCTTGTCAAATAGACATATGAATGGATACTTTGTAGAAATAAATGACAGCCAGAGGCCGAATTACCTATATACAATATAGTTGTGATAAACTGTGATATAGCACAACAAAACTTAAAAGCTCTTAAAAGGTTATAGTGCTGTCGATTTAAGAAATAACACAACTATGAAATAGGAAATACAATTGAAAAATTACATAAAGAAAGAAATAGGGTAAACAGATGGCCGGGTACCGCAAGACTCGATAACACCCACTAGAACTAATTTTACTCGCCACAATTCACAAAACAAGTATTTCTTCTAAATGGCAAAAATAATTTTGGATTTCTCATTAATCATTTAAGTGAACACATTGATTTTTGCCGCTCAAATAATGAGCTGAAAGCGTATGTGAATCGATTCTTAGCATTACACTTTGATTCAGCCGCTAGAATTGTTCCGCGTATTTTCTTTCTTTTGTTTTAGTATTCGATTGCCTTTTAAAAGGAGAGATTGTTACACAGGGTTGCACCTGTTGTTATTTTTTTTTTACCTAATATTGAACTGACGGCAATGCGTGGGACTACAGTTCACGCCTTCGATATAATACGAGCAGCAGGTCAGGATATAAAACCGCGCTAAAGATCATTCCACACTATCATTTGAACTGACTTCACTCTGCGGCCAGTAAGGGCACAACACGAAGTCAACGAACAATAAGTCTGATTTAAAATAAGGAAAACTTTTAGATACAACATAATACGGTCTTTAGAAAGGCGGACGGATTAGAAGATGTCAAAAAATCGCATCCTCCTCTGGACAGCCCCACGGTGCGTCTCAACAGCGTTTGAGAGATCGATTATGAATCTAAAGAACTCAAAAATCTTTCACGAGCCGTACTCACAAGCGTTCTACTTCGGTCCAGAAAAGCAAAGCGCCAGATATGCCGCTCAAGAAACAAAACAACAAGCGACCTACCGATCGATCAGCAAAATGCTGCAAAAGGAGTACGATGGCAGAGATTTCGTCTTCTCCAAGGAAATGGCCTACTGCGTGGAAAATAAAATGGACATTTTTGCAGAAGAAGGTTTCAAGAACTTTCAACATTCATTCCTCATTCGTCACCCTCTTAAAGCTGTCTATTCCTTGTACAGAGCCTCCACTAACCCGAAACTCACAGGATGGGATTACTTTGACCCCGCAGAGGCGGGCTTTCGTCAAATGCTCGAGTTGTATGAATTTGTCGACAGAAATATTCACGGCAATCCCGTCGTCGTAGACGCTGACGATCTCTTGGATTATCCCAACGGAATTTTACAGAGTTATTGTGAAGCAGTTGGTTTGGAGTATGAAGAGACCATGACATCGTGGGAACCGGGTCCTGTGCCTGAATGGGACGTCTGGGCAGGGTGGCACGAAGACGCTTTGAAAAGCACTGGGTTTAAACCAAGAGCCAAGAAGAACAAGCCTCACGCATTCACTGCGTTCGATTTAGAAGAGCTTCCCCCTGAGGTGGCTGC